ATTTGTGATCATGGCCAAGGTGGCAACAGTATAAAAATGTGTATGAGTGTGTAGGGACAATGGAGTGAGAAGTGGGAAAAGAGGTTGGAGCTAATCGTATATTAATAGAGCTTCACATTGATATTTTTAGCAGCATTTATTAAAATCATCTCTTCCTCTTTTCCTACAGACTAACACCCTAAATATGGTTTAGTCAAAGGCAGTATCTCATCACCGGGCCTCTCCAAATGAACAAAAATCACAATCAATGTATCTTGGGATAACTCTGCTATCAGAATGGAAACATCCTGGGACTGAATGTAATGGACAACTGACGGTCCCTTCTCATCCATCCAGATTCAACCCACTAACAGTCTGAAATGTCTTCCAGAGCCTTCTTGTATCACTTATTCCCTTGTTCTTAATTTCATCAAGTCATTTCTGCCCAGCTACTGCCAGAGGTGTCACTGTTAAATTGTGTGAGATTTACTGATATGATCCGAATTGAGTTCATATAGCTTGCTAATTTGTCATACCCACGTGTTTCATAAGCTTACTCTATTTATTAATTCTAATGCATTCTGGAAGCTATTTGGGGGCAGTGAATTAACCATTTCAGGCCACTAAATCGTCGTTTGATTTGGTTCCTAATAACTATGCAGACATGGAGTTTTACTTTGTTTTTTGTTTGTAGCGGGGATTTGTCTGTACTAATGCATTCAAAACATTTAATAACCTCCTTGGAAATTAAGGGCATGATGACCAGAAGTAAAATTACAGAATATGCCAATAGAGTACTTTTTCTTTTTTTAGGAAGCCAACTGATAAGTTTACAGGAGACACAATTCTTGACATGATTTTATTTTCAATAAGATCTCCTGAAAACACAGGTAACCCAAATGACTTACTACCATGGAACAACTTAAAAAGAAAACTTTCAAAACTAGGAAAATGCATTGGATCACTTAGCTCTAGGTATTTTAATAAGCATACAGATAGCTATGTTTTACATTCCAATTCTTCAGGCCATGTTGAATTAGTTGTTCTAAACCTAATGAAATGTGAGTGCAACTAAATTAATAATGTGAAAAATAGACACCAATGCATTGAATGATTTTTGTTATCCAGTTGTGTTTAATTAAGCAAAAAGGAAAACTAAAAAAATCTAACATTCCAAGAGTATTTGGGGAAATAATTTTAATATAAATAACTTTTTAAAATCCACTATGCAAAAATCTATAGCTTAAGAAAGTAAAATTTTTAAAATGCACAGATATATATTGCCAAATATATGTCAAATGGGTATTATCCATTAAATTTGCCTTGGTTAGTCTATACGATTTTTTTGTGCTATTCTATTATGAAGAGTTTTTTTTTTAATGAACTTTATTATTATTATACTTTAAGTTCTGAGGTGCAGAACGTGCAGGTTTGTTACATAGGTAATATGTGCCATGGTGGTTTGCTGCGCCCATCAACCAGTCATCTACATTAGGAATTTCTCCTAATGCTATTCCTCCCCTAGCCACACCCGCTTCCCCGAAAGGCCCTAGTGTGAGGATTTCTCGCACTCTTTCTTTCAGAAATATTTTCAAATAATTCATATTACTGTAATATTACATCTGATATTAAAAATGTAAGAAATGTACAAATCCCACTTACAAAACAAATTTATATGACAGAATTATTGGTGGAAGGTAGGCAGTTAAAAGATTATCTCCCTTATTCAACTATGATACCATACATCAATCTTAGCTATTGTGCAGTTAGTTTGCTAAGCAATATTCCAAGATAAATGATAGTAAGTTCCTAGGTCGATAGCAGAAACTTTCATACTTAAGTATTGCACATGGTTGTCAAACAGACAGGGCATAACAAGAAGAAGATTAAAATACTCAAGACAATATAATCCATGCATTACCACAAATATTCTCAATTCACTAAAAAACTGAATCTGATTCTCATGCTCAGAGTTTTTCAGTGAGGAAGTAGAGGAGTAAAGGGATTCTCTAGCTATTTCAGGGAAGAAAGGTTAAAATGACATACTTCTAAATCACGTAAACAATTTTAGACTCCAATGAAGTGATTTTGCCTGAGTAACCTAGAAAATCATTTGTATTTCCTCTTGAACCAAGCCACTAGAAAACACTACTGAGAAATAATACTTTGTGTGTAGTATGAATGGCTTTAAATGTAGCAAATATAGGCAAATAAAGGAATACAGATTTTTATGCTAGCAAAGTTCCTATCTAGGTGTTTTAAGTTTCTATTTATAATAACCCTGCCTTTTAAATTAATCATTCTTAAAGATATTCATATAAAATGTTCAAAACACACTTTATAACTTTACACTAAATCTTAAGTCTGTGTCCCTTGTGATTGATTCTTTCTTTTAGATAAGTTTTTAAAATGTTCTCTTCCTTATAAATGCTTCCACAAATAAAAATAAAATGACTTTAGGTTAAGAAAGTTCATGATTTACAAAATCAAAGCAATGAAACTGTTAAGTTTACACTAGTGCTTCTCAACTTCAGCGTGCACTGCAATCATCACTTGAGATGATGAACACGAATCACTGGGCCCTACACTCTGAGTTTCTAATTTAGAAAGTCTCAGAGGGGCCCAAAAATGTGCACTTCAAACAAGTTCCAGGGCCATGCTAATGCTCAAGATTAGGGGGTTGCACTTTGAGAACCTAACTTCTGTGACATATAAGACATATCTGAAAAATAATATATGATTTTAACCCACCTCATAGCTGCAACATTTATAATGGCCAGGAATACTGATTAATATTTTCCACACAAAGGAAATTCTGTTCCTAGCTAAATGACTAATAACCACATCAATATAAAAACAAAACTAAATGAGAAAGACCCCCACCTTCATCACAATCATCAGCTCAATTGCAGAACTGCCTCCTTGTTTTATTGTTAACATACATAAACACAGGATTATTCTAATGCAATTGTTTCCTATTTGTCTTCACTATTCAAGCTTACCCTTTTCCACTACCCAACCTGATACTTGCCAGGACAAATAATCTGACAAAAGGTGACAGGAAAATTGAACCATGACCTTCTGATCCAGATAGTTCCAGCAACGTCCCCCTGTCTCCCCATGCTCCCAATCTTTCTCACTTCTCATCACCCCGCTACACACACATACATTCACACCTGCACACACAAAAATATAAAAAAACAAAACAGAACAAAAAATTTTTAGCTAAGATGATCTGAACCAATGAGACAGAAATAGAGTCAGACATGGGATGAGAAGAACTCAGACTCTCCCATCCTAAGGAACAGTCCCTTAGAAGGCTTTATTTCCAGTATTCCTACATCCCTAGATTCCCCATTTTCCTTAGCTGTTTAGAGGACAGCAGGGTCCAGCACAGTCATAGGAGCACTAAGTTAATTCCTATTCTTTTCATAACCCACCTCCTGTTGTCAGTCAAACTTTGAGGTCTGCCAGGAGGCTCCGCATNGTTCCCCCAACACCACCACCAGATAATTGTCTTTTATTTGGGAAGGAGGGGTTGGAAGAGGAGACATTCCCATCTTTAGAGGCGGGAGAAAGTGAAGGTTTCATGGGAGCCAAGAAAGGAGCTAGAAAGACAGGAAACGGGAGGAGCAGATAGAGTGCAGTGAGTACCAGCGACAGAACCTCAGCACTGTTCAGCCATGGACAGAACACAGTGGACAGAGTAAAATGTTGGGTCTCTGGCATTCATCCCCAAACACCCACCCACTGTGCACTCCATTCCCAGAGAGTCTGAGGACTCAGGTTTCACTGGTACTTGTGTCCACTCTGCAGTCAGTTCTAGGGTCTGCAGGAAAAGCTCTGACACTTTGCCCCGGGTCAGTCATTGACCTAGCTCTGCAGCACTCGGGTCCAAACTCCTAAGTGAGACCAAGGTCAACTAGGCCAGATTGTCAGCACACTTTCTGTGGACACTGACCCAGGTGCAAAGGGTGGGACTGGCTGTGGGCAGGTCTTGGCCTGATGTCCCCTCAAGGGGTGCACCTCTAACCTCCCACCATACCTCAAAAACACAGAAGTGATTTTTTGGGCACCACTGGCTTGTCCCAAGGGAAGACTTACATTTCAGTCCACTATTAACCAGGACCTGGGTGTGTGTGTGTGTGAGTGTGAGTGTGTGTGTGTGTGTGTTTTATTCCCGAAAGCTAAGGGTGCCAACTGCTGACAGGTAAAAGAACCTGGATTTGCTTTTGAGGACTTCAAAACCTCCTAATTAACAAGCTTGCCCTTCTCTAGTTGCTAAACCTAAATCTGGGTTTTCCAGAGAGGGGATGAGATTGTGTTCCCACTGCAGCGAGCTGGTGTCCTGCCCTGGAACCCAGACGCGCGGACTTAGCAGTCCGTTCATTCATGCATTTGCTCATCCATTCACACAAACATATCCCTTAATTGTGTCTGGCACCGAGAATCTTGCCTGCTATTTTCCCCTCCCCAAGTCAGTGCTCATGGCAACGGCTGGTACAGAACGCAACTCAACTGTCACCCCACTTCCTGAGCCGGAAAATCAAGGCATGTAGGCATTCACAGAGAAAGGAAAAGGTGGAGAGGAGGAGGAGGTGGGGAGCGGAGAGGGGCGGGGAGACTCATGGGGTCACACTGGAAGCTTCCCTGGGGGGGGTGGGGGGAAACCGCGGCACCGACACCGGGGCATGCAAGGAGCCAAACCATTATTAAATCAAAGACTGCTGGAGCTCGGATTCCCCGCGGGGATAAATCAAGTGCAAAGCCACTCGTTCGCAAGAGTGCCTTGCTGCCGGCTAGACCCAACTCCGAGCCGGAGTCCAGGCGCCGGGGGAGCGGCTCGCAGCCCAATCCGCAGCGCGCTCGCTGCCTCCTTATCGCTCCCAATAACGTGATGAAGTGTAAATCAAATGCCACGCCGGGAGGGGCCCCGGAACGGCGCGAGTCGTGCATTTTCGCTCACCAGCCTGTCTTGCCTAAGAATCACAAGGTCACGATAGCGTCGCGATTCCACTCACCGTACACTCCTTGGCCAGAGATCCCCTCCAGGAGGACTGTCAGCAGCCACACGAGACCGTACAGTAAATCCATCTTCACGTGAACATGAACATATCCAGCCCAGGGGGGACGCAGCGGGACCTTCCGGAGGCCGGCAGCCAGCCAGGCGCGCTCCACTCGCGCCCGGGCCGAGCCGAGGTGCCCGGGAACCGCTCGCCGAAGGAGGAAGCGCCGTCCGTCTGTCCTTCCCCGGCGGCGGCCGCGAGCGGAGCGCAGGAGCCCCGCACTCCACACACTCATGCACACACACACTCACACACTCTCCCACCACACAATACCCTGACACACACTCACACGCACGCTGCACTCACACTGGGTGCCTGGGAAAATCGCAGACGCCGGGGAGGAGCAGGGGGCGGTGATGGGAAGGGGAGCTGCGAGGCGAAGTGTTCTTCAGGGAAGCGGGCTCCAATCTCCGCAGCGGCGGCGGCGGCGGCGGCGGCGGCGCGCTGGGCTGGCGGCGGGCGCGGGCTGGGGGCCGGGGTGCCCGCGGTGGGAGCCTGGCTTGGACAGCCGAGGAGCAGGAAGTGGCCTCTGACCCGGGACACCGAGCAGGGCTCTCTCGCCTGGGTTCGCCTTTACAAAGTAACTCGCGAAGGTCCCCGGAGGAGCGTCAAGCGGCGACAGCGGCCCGCCCGCCAGCAGTCCGAAGCCCCCAGCCCTGCTGTCTTGCCTTCCCCCATTCCATCAGTTGCCATTGCAACGCCAATCCTGCTACACGATACAGATTCGCATCGCCGAACGGGGAGAGGAGGAAGAGGAGGAGGAGGAGGAAGAGGAGGAGTGGGGCTAGGGGAACGGGGGTGGGGAAGAGGGAAGGGAGGAGGAGGAAGACGGAGGAGGAAAGGGTCCAACAGAGAGCGGAGTGTGCGTCTGGAGCTCGCTTGGGCACACCAGCCACTGCCGCCGCCACCACCGCCACCGCTCTCCAAAATAGCCTTTAGCGCCCTGCCAGCGTAGAGGTGCTCTGGCCGACCGCACCGATTCCCGGAGCCGAAAGCAGAGTCCAGGCACCGCCACTTGCAAGAGAGGGAGAATGCCAAGCAGATACCCGATCCGCACACACGTCTACGCGTGCCCACCGGCACTGCGCGCGTCCTCTTCGCTTCCGCGCCGCCCCCGCCAGGTGGAGGGGGTTGGGGCGGTCGGGACAGGCGGGAGTTTAGAGGAGGGAGCCGCAGAAGGGGGTTCCCCGCTGGAGCTAACGTAGTGGTGGCATCCAGAGGTGAACGCGGGAGCGGCCGCCTGCGGAGGGCACCCGGCTGCGTGGCGTCCGCTCCGGCCGCTGCTGCGGCAGAGGTGCCCTGGCTGGGCGGCCCGGCGCCCGGGGCTAGACGCCGGCCGGGATCCCTGGGTGTGCGCGGAGATGCACGCCCCGGAGGCGAAAGGAGGGAGGAGGTGGAGGAGAAGGAGGGCGCAGCAGCGAGCGCGGAGCGCAGGCGGACGGGCGGCCGGGCTGTGGGGCGGCTGGGCTGCTGGGGAGGAAGGCTGTGTGTGGTCACGTTGTGCGCTACGTGCTGAGAGCGCGAGCTGCTAGCCGCAGCCGGGCGACGTCAAAGCCGGGTGCGCGGCTCTGCCGCCGGCCTCCGCGCCTCCTCTGCCCCTCCTTTGCTCTGCTTTCCTGTGTCAGCCGAGCTCATCAGTATGGACAACGCTGAAAGGCTCCGCGAGGCCAGCGGCATCCGGCCTCCAACCTCTCCCTCGCCTCTCCTCGAGCTCCGCGGCGGCGAGTGCCCGTTATTTATTTCTGATGCCGCCGTCTGCGCTTGCACGCCGAAAGGCCAGCTACCACCTTAGACCCAGGGTAATTACATGACACGCTGTCTCCTCTCCGCCGCCCAAGGTCTTCCAGGATCCGTTACGCTTGGCTAGAGGGCAGAACAGACCACAGCATTTGGAAGTTGCAACGCTTCTTCTCTGTTTCTGTCTTCCTTAAAGGAAATGTGGTCATCACGGTAGATGCAGGCACTTGGGGAAGAAACACCAGGAGTTCAGAGATTATTTTATATGCAATGTCTCCTACTAAAGTTAACTGTTTGGAAAATCTTTTCCTTGTCTGAAAGACGGGCTCTTTTATTGGGGCAGTGGAAGCTCTAATGTTATGGGACTTTAAAAACGTACAGGTACACAAAAGATTAGAAAATCCAAAGCATCCTTAATTTACATTGCAACAAGTGTGGAAATACTTGACTAAAAATTAATAGGGAAAAATCTGTGAATATAATAGTAGTTGACATTTTTCTGTAACAGAGATAATGTTTCCTGTAGACAGTCCACTTTGTTGAATATATTCTTCACTATTCAAGCAGCATATGGGTAGGAAGTGATTGGAATGGTTTAAAATACGCATTTATACATGTGTTACAAAAGTAATTGCTATGGGAAATCTGGAGCACAGTATTTATTTATCTGTTCCCGTAATAGACCAGTATAACACACTGCAGGTCCCTCTCCCCATGCTGTAATTCTGCTGGGGGTGGGGGACCCTAAGCACTAGAAAATGTATAGTCCCCAGTTTTTCCCCCAAGGTCCTTTTCCTCACTTAAATGAATTGTGAATATTATTTTTTATAGGGTGTGATTTAGTGCTTACCCTCTGGGTTTACAAGATAGGAGGAACCAAACTTTTTAAGAGAGTCCCACAGAGGATCATTCGCACTGTTGAGAACCCGTTATTTATGAAATTCCACTTCCACTAGATGGAATTAAGCATCATACTATAAGCAAACTCAATGTGTGGGATTTCTGAAGAAAAGTGAGTGATACTCACTTACTGGTCCCCTGTGGGGTAAAAATTGTCTTCTAATTTTAAATCTGCCTTTAATGAGTAGATCATTCCTGCACACTTGCAGCACAGTAGCTTCATGAGGCAGTAAACTGCAACTCCTTTCTCACATCGAAGCTCATAATGTATCTTGACCATGAGGCTCTTCCCAATTTCAGCTTATCATATTCTGAAATAGTACTTCATCCCCTTATTTGTACTGTTCTTTTTAATACTTAGTTTTGGAATCATAGGATCTTTGAGTGTGTGAAGGACTCTAGATTGGAATACTTGATCATCCCCAAGCATCAGTGTATCATTTTAAAGTAGTCCAGACTGAGTATGGAGATTACTCTCTTAACCTTCAACATCAGAACAGAGCCTCAGGAGCCCAGAACCTTTCTTTTCTATATAATTGTCATCTCTGCAGAGGAAGGAACATGAACTCAATGAGCCCTCAGCAATACCTGAGTGAAATAGTTGGAGCCTGGAGAGAACTTAGAGAACCCAGTCACTTTACAATTTATTCCAATTTTAGTTTAAATTAAAAATGAGGAAATAGTTAGATATAGCTACTCTTTGCTGGGCCTTATCCTAGACTGTTGTACACTTAAATATTTTATGACACATTCCCTTACTTCAAGAAGCACACAATCTAGTGGGCAGAGTGTGTTGGTCAACATATGCACCATTACTTCTATTGACACTGTAAGTGCTGTAAATAAAGTCCTAGGGCACAAAGTTGCAAATTTTACATGGAGTCATTAATTGGTTTATATAACAGTGAGATCTTTTTAAATGCCCTGGATTTAATATGGGATTTTTGTTCCTATAAAAATACTACATCGATTACTTATGGAAATAATTGCCAGTTCAATCAAATGACGTTTTTCCATCTTGAAATTCAGCATTCTTCAGGCTGCACTGACCAACCAGGCATAATGTATATAACCACACCTTAGCACTGGCTAATGAAGGCCTCCAGGTGGTGAGCCTGAGCTGAAGCTTAAGCACAGGCAAGAGATGGTTTATCAGAGAGAAGGGAAAAACTGTAGAAGGCAGACCCAGAGACTACTGTGAAATCTGGCCCAGCACACTTTGTATCACCCATTAGAGCAGTTTACTACAGGAGCAGTGTAAATAACTTCAGAGATCACCAGTTTCTTGGATTTTTCAAGTGAATATGGATGTTGCATAGAGCATGGAAACTCTCACACTGCATTACTACCAGGATCCAATTAAGAGTAATCTTGTGTTTTTAACAGGAGCAATAATGGGCATTCTATCATTTGTGGTAACAGTGTAATGAAAATTTGGGGGCTTTCCTCTGACAGCTATAGATGCCATAATAACCTGTTACCATTTTATTGACTATAGTTTTATTTAAAATTTCTGTCTCTGTTTTCCAGTATGACCTTGGTGTTCCCTCCTCCATAGCATGGGGGAGACACTGTCATGGAAAGAGTCACAGGTTGGCACAAGATCCAACCAAGGTAGTGGGACAGAAGTGAGAAAAACTGGTATCTCCAGAGATACAGCTGAGCAAAGCAAATTCAGAACACTGGTGGCAAATCTGTCCTTTCTTTCCAATGTAGCCTCTTCCCAGAACACAAGTATCAGGCCCTGTGTGTCGTTTACATCAACTTCCATTTTCACTGCTGGCACACTAAGTCATACAAACTCCCATATACACTACTGCTAAACAAGCATGTGAAAATCATCAGTGATGATGGTAAATTATTTTTAGCCAAATCCCTGTTCACCCATTTTCTTTCTTTCTACTTAGTAATAGTTTCCAGCATGCAAGCTGAGAAGTCTGAGAAGATCACAAAGAACTGGATGTTTCAGATGATAGTGAAAGCCACAAGGCACGGAATAGCATTGGAGATTCCAGGTGCTGGTTATTTCCAGGAGGCAGATAGCTGACAGTTGCTCCTAAGCAGTGGGACCCAGACACTGCTGTTACGGATGAGGCAATGATTTCATTTAGGGAAACAGAGGAATAAGAATGGTTAATTAGTAACATTAGAAATAAGGAGGCAGATTAAATCTCGAATCCCTACTGTATGGACTGAGAAAGGTCCAGGAGAGATGTTCAACTTGAGGACGCAACAAAATGCCAAAGAACAATCCCTGGAAATAGCAGACCCAGGGAGCAAATAGAAAAGGAGGTACCCAGGAAAGGCTGTATATTTGGATACTGTTTGAGAAGATGCCAAAGTAATTTGCAACCAGATGATGGGGCTGAGGTCTTGGATATAGTGTAGCTGTAGCTGCCAGTGAAGAGTAGCTGAGAAAAGAAGAGGGAGAGGCAAAAAGCATGAGGCAAGGGTCTTGGTATTCTTGATATTCTATCTTCAGCTTAAAAGTAGCAGCACATTTCTGAGAGTTTTTACTTGTTTGGTAAATGCCATCCCTTTTTCAAGGCAGATGTGCTAGTCCCTAATTTCAACTTCCAGGATTTTGTGTACCACTCATGATTTCTATACAATTTGTATCTTGAACTTATAATTATTTTTTAAAGGCTACTCTTAGATACCATATCCTGGGTAATTTTAGTAGCCCTGCCCTAGATTTATTCTTATTCTGGCATGTCTCCCTTGAACTCTTATTATAATTCTGACACTATTTCAGGAACAGACACAAGGCTGATTTGTTCCAGAGTAGAAGATGTTCAGTTCAGGGCAGTGTGACATAGTAGGTAAATGTCTGAGCTTTGACATCAGACTGCCCTGGGCTGGATCACTGACGTCAGTGTGACCTTGACATTTCCCTTATCCCATAAAAGGAGAAGAGCAAAAGAAGAGTAGAATTTTAAATAAATAATATATGTAAGATACACTCATCACCTGGCACATAGTGGTCAAGTAATATTATTGCTCAATATTTTTATTGATAATATTTTTAGTTAAAGGGCATTAATATATAGGGGTAATAACTTGAATAATTTCCATTTGAAGATGAACTGACAGCTTAGAACCTTTAGTTTTATAAGTATGATGACATGTTTATCTCTAAAAGCATGATGACTTTCTTTCATTCAAATTTCATCTGCCCTATTTCTGTCCAGTCACATCGAATTCTGAAGTCTTTCCACAGTTTAGCTGTAATGGTTTGGCAGTTCAGTACTTAGGCATCACTAAATATCTTCTGGAAACTTGAAAATTTGAGAGTGCAATTTTGCTTCAAGATTATTTTTGAAAGTGCCACATGCCTGGATGTATCCTAGGAGAGCTTGACAGCTTAAATATTAATGTGAAGAAGTTCCTGTTTAT